TGCAGACCGTGACAGTGAACCTGCGTCATGATCTGTGATGGTCTCTGGAGATGTCTGACATAGATCTCCAGAGAACATCACAGACTGTGTCAGAGATCTCCAGAGAACATCACAGACTGTGTCAGAGATCTCCAGAGAACATCACAGACTGTGTCAGAGATCTCCAGAGAACATCACAGACCATGACAGACAACTAAAGAAACCATAACAGACATTAAAAGAAAAGTCTAAAAATCACCATACACCTTGATAAAGCATTTTAGACGCCATCACATATAGATAGAAGCAGCCACTATCCCAGTCAAACACTATCACACATCGATACAGACAACTACGGAAACCGTCACACCCATTGACAAAAACCTCTCGAAATCATCACCTATCTGATCGATCAGTCGCACAATGTGATACGTTACAACAATAAACTCGAATAAAATAGACTATGTGAGAAAAACACTCCACACAGCATAATGAACGACGAACTTGAAAGCTGAGTATTACGAATAATCATGATGATATATTTCCAAACTTAAGGATATCGAATAGAACTGGTTTAGCTACCAACCGACAAAATGAAAAACAATCTTTCAAAAAGGATTATTACATAAACATGGATTAGAGGAGATCATGACAAGCCATAAATTACTGATCGAGATCAAATCATATGTAGGTAACAACAAATCAGGAAAAGCGTATTAGTCATTATAGAATAGCCAGATAAAAATATAACTCTATCCATCTTATACACTTCTTACTGATAAATTTAGCAAGCGTTATGGACAAATCATTACTATTAATCGAAATTTACTGCATCAATGTGTCTGCATAGCCTAAGAAACTGATCACTCAACATAATATATTTATTTTTCAGTTAAAATACTTGCTGACAATAGTAATCAAACTTTGTTTCTACCATTTAATAGAGTTCGTCTGATGTAATATCGTTGCATTTTTTTTAATCAAATGAACGAGAAAATAACAAAAAAAACAAAAAAAAAATGAATTCGTCAATTTCGATTGTAAAAAATGTAAGTAGTATAGTTTATTTTTTCATACAATTTAATTTCATCACTAAGTTCACCTAATACATTATTCATTATTTCTTCAATTTCATCAACACTGTCCTGTTGTCTTTTTTTCTTATGTTTCAATAAATGATTATTTCGATCTTTCTTTCATGTAAGAATTTTTTTCTTCAGATTGATTAAGCCGATAACGCCGTTGGCGTTCTCTATTCGTTTCACGAGTTTTGGTCAATGAAACCAATTTCTGAATAGTTTGATTTTCAGATAATACGTTAAAACGTGTAGGTAATCTATATTCTTTTTGTTGGCTGTTCACTTTATATTTATATAATACCATGTCTGATTGCTTCTGTCGTTCTCGACATCTACGCATTTTTCGAGCATGTCCAATAAGAAATGTATCTTGTTTTTTGATTTCATGATGGTAATTATGTATTTTTATGTGCTCTATAAACTGGACAAAGAAAATCAATAATTTATGCGAAGACTCCAGTCTCCCTTTAACATTCATCTTGTCCAAACGAAAAAAAAGGACCATCGAATAACTTTAGGAGAACATTGAGATAAAAGAACCATTTTCGATAATTTTATTAAGCAACTTTAGAGGCCCATAGTGTGTGTATTTAATGTAAAAAAACAGAAACAAAGCATGAGTAGAACAAGAGAAATATGAATTTCAATCTTGTGCGAAAACTTTTCGATCACCCGTTACAAACTTATCTCTAAGAAAACCTGAAAATATTATCCTCTGCGAATATCAAGAAGAAAAATATTGTGCAAGACATGCTCTTTGTACACTTTCACAAAATCTTGAGCTATTTAGTAACGACTATTTAATAAATATTGCTCAAAATATATGAGCTACCGAGCGAATGTATCGAAATTGAGAATTCATACGAACTACAGATTATTATTATGAAAACACTGCAGATTATGATATTCAAATTTTACAAGCTGCTCTTCGCAATATGTTAAATGTCGACTTTATACAAATTTATAAAATAGAAAACAATGACTGTCCCACTCGGAGTATAATCTTGTCGAGTACACAAAATATTCAAGCCTTTCTTGTTCAAGATGAGTATCATTATTACTGTATACGTCAATTTCGTTTGACAGAAGACTATTTTTTTAAAATTGATTACAAATATCCAATGTACCGTGAGCCTATTCATCATCAAGATATATTAGCATTTATTGGTACACTTCTAGAATGTCGCTGTAATGTCTACATAACTATCCAACATGTAAACGATCACTTTGATGAAGACCTTTCAATACAAAACATTGCAACAAAACTGTGGGCTCTGCCTGACTCACCAGCTGATCTTGAAGCTTAAACTGTTTACTAAGAAACTGAATATAAAAGCTCTTTTATTATTTGGAGAAAATTCTAATTAAATTTGTTCGTTGAAAAGAAAAATACAATTTGATTTCCCTCTCATAGCGGTATCAATTTACTGATTATGATAGTAAATCATCTAAATCTTTTCATCATATTAGTCGATGTCTCATAGGAAAAATATAGAATTGATCGTGCAAATAATAAATGTTCTAAAATTTTCCTAAAAAATACCTCATACAAATCACTTGAGAACTTAAGCACTATATATATAATTCACTTCAACCTTCCTTCTCATCAAAATAATATTGAAATTAGATATAGGAGAATATACTACTAAACTTAATCATACTCATTCACTACCTCAAAAACAAGAATCTGAAAACATTCACATTTATCAACCAATACATGTTACATAAAATATAAAATAATTCATTTCTTGTTTTTTCATTCGTTATCAGGAAATCACAAATTTTACTATCATTTTCTCTACGGAGAATCATTTCAAATAGATTTGTCTTTCTACTATAACCAAAATCATTTAGTTCAATCAAGTTTTTTTTTACTGTAAATATTCTTTCCTACATTTATTGGAATCAATTAATCATGTGGTTTAATACAATTCATATATAAACATTTAGTCAATGCTCTATCAAACACTTAATTTATTCAATCAAATTAATTAATTTTGCTAAAATTCGTCAATTTATTTAAACGCATTGATTTCAGCGCTCAACAAAATCGACATATACTCTGTACTTAATTCTATTCACTAATTTGATTAAATTACATCTTTTTCCTTTTTCAGTTTAATTTTTTACATCCTCTGATGGATCTATCTTTTTTTATTTCTATTACCGAATGAAATAATTGATCTCCGATAAGCGAAGAATTGTCTGGAATGGATCTTTTTCATTTTACATTACTCATTGAATGCCACCTCGCTATTACTACATATCATCTAATTCAATTACTACGCTTCCAGTCTGACCTGCTACTTGAAAAAGAAATAAAATCATTAATCCATATGACAAAATCCCCATATATGATTATTGAAAACGGCATCGGTCTTGTATTGTCCTCATGCAAATGGAATAATTTTGTTTATGGGCCCTTCAAGCTACAAGTGATAGAAAAATCATTGAAATATTATTCCACATATATTTTTTTTTCTTATACTGTCGACTATGGGGATTCAGTCCATTTTATTATGAATCATGTTATCCTATTTTGGATATTTTTCAATATTCATGTAAGATATTTATTTTGTCTAAGTCGCACATATAAAGCTCTCGAAATTATATAATTTACATCATAGTCCAATGAGCATTGCTTATCAATTAGTTCATTTTTTTCTATTTGTTTGGTTAAACTATTGTAGTAGTCTTTCGTATCTTAAAAAAGTTATCGCAAACTATATAAGTCAAACACTACTTTAGAAAACAAATACACAATTAATAGTTAAACTATTTCAAAAAAACAACTAAGATTTACAAAGGACAAATAAAAAACAAACCATGAAAATAGATATATAACTACATGAGTATATATATATATAATTTTTGTAAAATCTATATGAATAGATCTTTTTCAAGCACGTGCATTATCGGTTGACGAATGTACATTTTTCAAAGTTTGGGGAAACAATCAATCGCCACCAAACATCGTTATCAATTTCGATCAATTTATCAAAAATCTGAACTCTCACTATGAATATGATATATATGGGGAACCTATATAGATTGGAATATATTTTTTATGGCTGGTGGTTCAATCGTTTCATGTTTACTTGTTCAACCTTTAGTCGGAAAAACATCTAGTATCGATTTATTTTTTCTCAAAGAAAATCCGCAGCTCTTAAAAAACGCCGTAGTAAGATTTAATATTCTCATTGTTTCGCCATCAACCAGAAAACATTAATTCAATTAACTCATATACACCTTAATATTGTAAAAGATATTCTTAAAGTCACATATTTTGTCTTCCTATTTTGATAAAACAAACACATAGTAATAGCCATATATAGTATTCAAAATCTCTCATATACATTAAAAATAAATTTCACAT